ATTGTCTGTACCGTGCGGGACTAAAATCCAAACACATGGAAAGTCCGCCTGATGGAATAATGTATTGAGCGGAAGGATTTTTTAGGTCTACGCAATTTGATTCCGCATAGTATTCCTCTTAAAATATTAAAAAAAGTCCCTTTTTTCGGGTAAAGATTTTGGGACTGAGTATGAACCTTTGCGTACCCAAGGTAATTTCGCCTAAAAACTTAGATATTCTTCTTATTTCGTCATTTCTTGACCGATATTAATGAAACAGTTTCCAATCGATCAAAAATCACTTCTAATATTCTTCCTTTCTAGGAAGCCACGATGAACTTGTGTTCTTCAGACCAATTTTGGTAGACTAATTCCGGCCAAGAAAGCACAACCCTCATGGTAACCCTAACCTCTGAACAATGAAAACATTTTCGCTCGCTAAAAGTTCTTGCAGCTCACAGCAAGTTAGCCTATCCGGTCCGCTTGCTGCCTTGATTGTGCTTGTACAACTGTGGTGGAAAAACAAAGGAAACTTTTCCAATTCTGCCTCAAGCACTACGACCCGGCTCGTACGGTTGCTGGACGGTGATTTCTATATGGTCATTCCATTATTGGTTCCTCTCGAAATTCACAGGCAATCACTGACTATGCCAAGCACGGTAAGCCTGGCAGCGCGGCGTGTGCGTATAATTGATGTGGCCAACGCGAATCGGCTCTCGGAATGTTTTGGGTTGGTCCCCAAATTACTGCTGCTAGCGCAATAAATAGGTGGGTGATTTAGGGACAACCCTAAATTGCTCCGTGGAGAACAATAAGGCGATGGACGACCAAAAGGAACTGCGGCTGGTTGCTCTCGCCGTAGTTCGGAGTGTAAGTGTCCTCGGTGGTTTGCAAAAAGTGCCCTTGAGAAGGAGGACGAGATGATGAGGCTGAATGAAACGAAAGAACAACTTCTGTGCTGCTGATGGTGGGCTAATTTATGGCGGTTCGTTACCAAGACGGGACGGGCTAGAGCCAACGAATTGCTCTTGAGAAATTGTGTGCCATGATTTTTAAGGGTACGACGGGAAATGGGAAGTGCGAAAGGAAAAAAAGAAGGTTTTTTTTCGGAATGGAACTTTCTGAACAGTTCCTCATGTCTAAATTGTTAAAACTAAGCATGACTATGAATTTTGATAAGCTTTTGAAGTAGGTTGAGTGATTCCTTTAAAAGACCATCAACCTTACATCCTTTCCAAAACTTAGAACATGTTGGTGCTTGAAAGTCAACAAGGAATTTCAATACGTGTTTTGCAATTTATTAGTATTTTGGGTTTTATCAGGGGTCTCAGATAGCCTACCCAAGTAACACATATTCATGCATTTATGTCGAATAAGTTATATTTAAATTATATAAACTGTTATGGAACATGTGTATTGGTTGGGAAGTCGGTAAAGGCACGGTATTACCAAGCCGGAGGCGGCGGGTTCGAGAAAATCTTTTAGGTTGGAAATTCCCTGGGTATAGAGTATCATTGTGCTTTCCAGGCAATATACAAATTCATCAATTTGTTGGCATATGAAACTCTCAATTAATATCTGTGAAAGTTTATCTAGAATTAAGTTGAGAGCCGGCACGACCCTCGCAAATGAGCGTAAAAAACCTAGAAGAAGATGGTCGTTTCTTGATATAAAACCTATTTTGATAATTCTACGCATTGAAACGCTATACATTTTTTTTTACTTTTGTCTGTTTTGGTGTTTTGAGCTCTTTTTACGTTAAAAGAAAATTTGATGTTTATCATGTAATTTTGGAGTTGTTAGGGCCGTCGTAGATTTTAAAGCTATTTCGATGTTATTAACCATTTCATCGATTACTATTCAGCAATTTCAGGGATGGAAGCGACTTAACTGACTAAAAAGTTACTTATTGGTCACTTTTCGGTTAATAAATCACTTAACAGTAAACAAAGTGATATGGTAGTAGTAGTAATGATTTTTATTTTGTTTTTTGGCCTGGTAACACTGTGTAATATATAATATTGATTGGTAGCGAGTTTATGGAAATTCTCAAAGTGGGTCCCAATCAGGCAGTCTGAGAACTGCTCTGCCCATAAATGAGGAAATGGCTATGTCCCTTGCAAACGAAAACTAGAAAATGCTACTTTAACAATTTTGTCGGCACAGTAACTTACTCGATAATTTTAACTTTTAAAGTATGCAGAATATTCTGCATCTAGGCCGATAAAGGGTGTCCACGATGAAATTGCCACACTATGAAATTGCTCTAACTTTTTAACCGTTGGGTAGAATTTAATGAAAATTTGGGTGGATTTAGTTCATAGTGCATTATTTACATCCTGCAAGTTTTAAAGTCCTGTGATCAAAACTCGCGGAAATGGAGTCGAAAGAACAGCTCGTGCGTGATAAAATCTTGCGCATTCATCACGAGAACAAGGATCTCTCGCATCTTTCCATCGCTAAAACGTTGGGAATCGCGAATTCCACGGTGTCGCGAGTGATTAAGCGGTTCGAGGAACGGTTGACCACCGATCGGAAGCCCAGAAGTGAAGGAAAAAGTATTCCGTACAACACCAAAAATCACAACCGCGTAGTTGGGGCCTTCAACCGAAATCCGAACGCCTCCGTTAGGGATGTGGCTAAGAAGCTGCACCTAAGCCGAAGTTTTGTCCAGAAGGCCAAAACTAAGGCTGGGCTTCGAACGTTCAAGGTACAAAAGGCCCCTAATCGCGACGAGAAGCAGAACAAGTCCGCCAAAACCCGTGCCAGGAAGTTGTACCTCAACATGCTGACGAAAGTTGAATGCTGCATCATGGACGACGAAACATATGTGAAGGCCGACTTCAAACAGATCCCCGGCAACCTGTTTTTCACGGCCAAGGATAAGTTCAGCGTTCCGGAGCATGTCCGCACTCAGAAGATGTCCAAATTTGCCAAGAAATTCCTGGTTTGGCAAGCCATCTGCACGTGCGGGAAGCGGAGTGGACCTTTCGTGACCCAGGACACGATAAACGGACAGGTGTACATAAAAGAGTGCCTCCAGAAGCGGCTGCTTCCTCTCCTGAAGGCCCACAACGTCCCAACAATCTTCTGGCCGGATTTGGCCTCATGCCACTACTCCAAGGACGTGCTGAAGTGGTATGCGGACAATAAGGTCAATTTCGTGCCGAAAATGTTCAACCCTCCCAACACTCCGGAGCTCCGCCCCATCGAGAAGTACTGGGCGATTATGAAGCAGCACCTTCTTAAACGACCTAAGGTAGTGAAGACAGTCGAGGAACTGAAGAAAGTATGGGTTTACATGCAAAAAACGGTTGATTTACAGGTTGTGCAGAATCTTATGGCCGGGGTTAAGGCCAAGGTGCGGGCATTTGCGTATGGACTGTAAATAAAATACGAGTAAAATGGTAAAATGAAGTTTAATAGTTATTTCCCAATCCCTGAAAATTTGATGGCAATCGGATGAAAACTCGAATTTTGCGAATCAATTTTGTGTGTGGCAATTTCATCGTGGACACCCTTTATAATTCCGTTGAATAAAAACTCGAAAACAAATAGCCAATTTTCATTTGAGCATAATTTTCAACACAGTATTCATATCTTCATTTACTTTGCTAGAGATATCTGACAAACGGTGAGATCTTTTGGCTTACATTGAGGCAAATAGACTTAAGAATTTCATAAGCCTCGACTTATTAACAACATATATGAATTTCATAAGCATGACTTATGAATGATTTTCGGGTAACATGAGGTAGCTCTTATACGCCTTTAACCATTACATTTTCCCAAGCGTTGAAAGACGAGTGGTCAACACGCAGGCCCCGTAATCTCAACGTCCATGGTTCGGTTCCAGTCTGCTCCGATTTATTATTGTTTTTCCAACATTGGCAAGTCAATGAAATTCATACTGATTTCCTGTTGCCAAAAATTTATAAGTGTTATGGAATTCTTACGTTCTTTTGCCTGCGTGTACGTGCATACATTTTCTTTTATCGTGTCAACATTGTCTGCACTACATGGCCTTGCGTTACTTGCTCCCGCCAAAGTGAATAGGAGTGGGAGGGCAACAACAGTTGCGATAAGAAAAACTACCCCAATCGTTAAACAGGCTTTTTCATGGCTAAAAGGAAGAACACATTGTGATCCCTGGAAACTGTAGCAGACAATCACTGTTACGCATTATTGAACCATAGTTGAGCAAAATTATTTGCATATCAAAAAGCTGTGCCATTTTCTCATATCTAGGCAGAGCTGCTGTTCTATAGATCTTTCTAGAAGACACAACAGGGGACTGTACAGTTGAATCCAGATGGCTTCAAGGGGGAGTATAAAATTAAGCTTTCCACGACTGAGGCCAGAGGACTTGAAGAACGAGTCAAAAGCATTTCACCGGTTAAGGGCAAGTCCAGAGGTCTACTATTGTCAATTAAAGAAATGTTCGAAGATACATCTAGAATCAGAACATCAAAGATACGTATAAAGATTTGAAGAGTTATGTCAATGGAAAGTCCGGATATTCTTAAAAGAAAGCTCAGAAGTCTTCTTGGGCAAGCTCAAAAGTCAACAAAGATTAGATTTGATATAAAGAAAGAGAGATGGATTAGTAATTTCCATTTAATTCCACTACCTTATTTGCTTATTCTTGCCAAGAATGGCTTAGGACCCTCCTGGAGTAAATTATGAGACTCAAACTGCCTCAGCACGTTTATTTAAGCATTACATCATCAAAGTGCTTGTGACAACATTCCCCATCCAGTTGGCATCCAACCAGTCCAAAATTTACCCAAAAGTACAAATACCCATCTAACCACCAGCCCCTCAGTTTCGATAGTACTTTACGGCATCGGGCTTAAACGACATAAGAACCGTCGCGTCGTCGTCGTCGTCGTTGGCCACCGATGTTGCTGCTGTTGCTGGTGCAAACTTTCTAAATGTGATTTAGTAATGGAATTACCCGGGATTACCCAGCCAGTCAGTCAGTCAGTTAGCTGCCCAACAGAGTCACACCCCGACCACGTCGCAGCCAATCGTTTTACGGTTGTACATTCCTAGTGAATTCCACCCTGGTTAACGATGGCAATTGCCATTTATTCCAAAATACTGAAAGCCACATCAAAAGCTTCGCCCGGCTTTATTAGCTTTGCTAAGCGCGAGCGCTCTCGCCCTCCTGTTGTCGTTCATATCATCGAGTCATCAACCCCCTCGTCCGAATCACGTTGTCGCAAGGATGAAACAAAAAAAAAATGAACGAGGGTTTGAAACTTGGTGTGTCGAACGTGACTTTGGTCAATTTTCATCATCAAGATGATCCTGTGACGAAGGATAAAAGCTTTTAACGTCATATTTCGTTAAGGTTATCCAACGCAGTTGAAGCTGCTGTAGCAGTGTGGACGAATCCACAAATTACAGCTTTCTCCGAAAGATCATTCTTGGTCGCCCACTCGTGAACGAGAAGAACCTGAATGGCGATTGTTAACGTGAATAATTAAGCAGATGCTCGTCCGTCGGTTGTCAATTTATGAGTCCACTTATTTGGTTGAAACGTTTAAAAACAATATCCTGGGGAGCGTGAGCGTGAGAAAATTCGATAAAGGTTCAATGGATGCAGGGCGAGATTAAGCAGTGTTCGCGCATGGGCGTCAAATTTCCCAAGACGAGAGGGAGAGAGATGAGATTCGTAGTATTCTCACTCCCAGGGAGCAGTTTTTAAACGAGACCTAAAGGGGAAATTGAGCAACTATTTTCCCCTCTCTCTCTCAGTTAAAGCAAGATAGATAGCGAGAGGGAGATTCGATCTACGACCGGAAGAGTGCTTCGTGAGCGCTGAGTTCTATCGATATCTAAAAATAGCTCAATTTGAATGGATAGAGAAAACGGTTCAAAAATCACAGATGGCTCTCTTGCTCTCCTCTCGGTCCAGTTGATTGAACGACGTTCGTCACGGTAATCGAGAATTGAAACGGTAAAGCACAACAAACCAGACCGGGAGGAGCATTGGTGATTCCGAAAACGGAGAGTGGTGGTGATGGGGTCACTCACAATGTTTGCCACCCACCCACTGGATTCGGAGGCGGTGGATGATTCATATGTTTTGTATTGATATTGAAACATTGTTCCGAAGAGTTTCATAAACTTTCAACTTGAAGAATTTTATACACAGCTTAAACATTCTAGCTTACCAGACTTGTTGATAGTGAAGACTATGTCTATTTACAACTTGGAAGACATTGGAGGTAGAAATAAGTTTGATCGGGTCATACCTGAAAAGATTTAAAATATTTGTTAGTGCTATGAAAAAGTAATGGTACTAAAATAACTGGGGAAATTGCTCCTATGTTTTCGAACTTGATATTAATTGAGGCCAACAAACAGTAGAAAAATTTCGATTGCAGTTCAGTTTACAAAGACAACACAACATCTACCTTTGTCCGATAAATATTGAAACGCCTCCACTCGCAACTATTATGCTGATTGCAGAATCAACAACAAATTGTTCCAAAATTTCCCCCCCTTTTGGACAAGAGTGAATCGAATAACAACCACCATGCACCATTCCTATTCACGGGCAGAGTAGGTAAATGTACTCACGTTCGTTCGATGACGATGGGAGATTGAATACCCATCGAACGACCGACCCCTAATGTTTACAGAAACCAATCAATCTCGGCTGTCTCTCACGTCACGTTGATGGTGCTGCTGCTGAAACCGTTTCGGAACACGCAGCACGGCTGGGCGTCAATTTGCACTTCATTTCTAGTCGGAAACATCACTCTTATGACAGCCACCCCCCTCCCTTCGTGGTCCTTTCCTGTTTTTTTTTCAGTGTACGGTTTAGTGGCCTTGTTTTGAATGAGGCTTTTTGGGAGACAGTTTAAAGTACGTCATCAAGAGGACATTTTTCCTAAAAGTTCAAACAGAATTTTGAGGCTGTATGACGAAAGGTCGAAAGACAAAAGGGATGAAAGAAAGAAATACAGGGGGAACTGATCACACTTGATCCCCCTCCCCTCCTCGCCACAGTTTTCTTGAAATTCAGAAAGGATTTTTTCAAGGTAGGTCGACAGAAAGTTTCGTCTAGACAGAATGTAAACTAACCGTTAAGGTGATAAAGGCTGGAACGCGCAAAAATTGGTCGACAAAAAAATCGTTTCTTTCAGTCAAAATTCATATCACAAAAATCTTCTTATTTTTCTTTTGGTAGTTCAATTCATATATTTAAAGGAAAAAATGTTCGTTTATTCTTTTGGTTTGCCAAATCCGAACTACCGTGCCTTCCATTAAATTTTGCACAGTGGTCTCATCGATCTTATTCGCCGCCGAACGCCAGCTAGATTTAAACTGCTGCTCGTTTTCCATGGATTTATTAGTTTATTTTTTGAGATTCCGTCTCAATCAAGGCCCAATACCGTTCGATAGGGTGGAGTTCTGGGCTATTGGGAGGGTTGTGGTCTTTGGGTACCACAACCACGTTGTTCGCATCTTACCACTCGATAGCATTTTTCCCATAGGGGCAGCTCGCCAAGTCCAGCCAGAACAGCACAGGTCTATTATGTTGCTTTAGAAATGGTAGCAGCCGCTTTTCCAGGCACTCCTGGACGTAGATCTCTTGATTGATGGTTCCCGTAGTCATGAAAATGCCGCTTTTTAGACCACATGTGTATATGGCCTGCCAGACGAGATATTTTTTCGGGAACTTCGATAGTTTGATGGTTTTGAAAATTTCAGTCACCTTCCCTTTTCCTGATGCGGTATAAAACTCATGTCCCGGAAGCTGCTTGAAATCCGCCTTCACATAAGTTTCGTCGTCCATGACGACACAGTCGAACTTTGTGAGCAGATTCGAATACAGCTTTCGGGACCGCTGCTTTGCTGCCGTGTTTAGTTTGTAATCTCGGTTCGCCACCTTCACATTCTTAAACATAGACAGCCCGGCTCGTTAATTGGCCTGTTGCATAGTAGTATGGGAGATATTGAGTCACCTTCTTCGTCGTCGCTGCCACGTCCGGTTTACGATTGCCGCTGCTTCTAGGCTTCCTAGAGGTCGACAGACGCTCCCCGAACACTTTTAAAACGTTTGTCACGGTCGATTTGGCCACATCCAACAATTTTGCCAACTTGACCAGTGAGAGAACGTCGGATTATCTGCGCGAGCAAAATTTTGACACGCTGCTCCTGTTGCTTGGACGTTATTTTGAAACCTGGATAGCGAACGTTGAAAACTCATCATAGCAACCATTGTATATAAACTCAACTTCCAAATGCAGCATTTCAGGTTTTTTATGCATTTTTAACAGAAATACACCAATTTAAAGTTGACCAATTTTAGCGCGTTCCAGACTTTATTTGCGTCAGTTTGTTGATTTTTGCTCCAGGAAGTAAAGACGCAATCAGAAACCGCTGACATTTTGCAATAATTTTTTATTAATTCATTTTTATGGCTGCATCCTGTTGTTCACCTTTATCTCTCAGTACCAGTGTAATTGGTTTAATCCATCAGTGTTTTTCAAAACGCGTGGACTTTCATCAGAACAACGTCGAAATATTGTGAACAAATGGTGTACAGAACCCGGATTGTCACTAAGAAAGTTGGCAAAAATAGAAGAAGCATGTGAGAAAGGCGTACGAACAGCGATCAGGAAATTCAGTGAGGATAACTCGTATACCGAAAACGGCTCGAAAAAAAGGTCCTGCTAACCCTCGTTTGGATAAACGTATACTGAAGGCGTTCGAGCAAAAGAAGGAGCTTTCAGAGCGTGATGTTGCCAAAAAAAAAAGTCGAACTTAAAAGTTCGTGCTAAAGAACTTTTGAATCTTCGAACCTATAAGAAGCAGAAGCAGCCAAAACGGAGTCCAAAACAAGAAACATCGATCAAGCCCAGAGTGCGAAAGCTGTACGATACGCTGGTTGCTGGGAATTCAATCTGTATAACCATGGACGACGAAACCTATGTGAAATTGGACTACAAATCCTTGCCGGGGCCACAATATTATACGGTGCGAGAAGGGCAAGTATTGGGCCAGTCTGAAAAATACATTCAACTCGAAAAGTTTGGGAAGAAAGCTATGGACTGGCAAGCTATTAGTGGCTGCGGTAAGGTTTCGCAACTGCTTCGATGAACAGCGAAATATACATCAAGGAGTGTTAACAAAACCAACTTCTTCCCATTATTCGAAGCCACAAGGATTCTGTTGTCTTCAGGAAATATCTTGCGTCTTGCCATTACGGTAGAATGGTATACCTGCAACCAACGGCAGAATGGTATACCCGCAATCAACGGCAGAATGGTATACCTGCAATAATGTAACATTCGTTAAAAAGGAAATGAATCCTCCTAATTTCCCGCAAATTTGACCAATTGAAAAATGTTGGGCATTGACCAAGGCACATATCAGGAAACATGTCTCCGTACCAGAAACCATTCAACAGTTTGAAAAGGATTGGGAGAAATTGAACTCGTCGCCAAGAAGTCTGAGCTGAATCTGCTGAATTAAGAACGTTCGCAATAAGGCATACAATCGATAGATGGCAAACATTGAGAACCCTGATCTGTTATGCTAATCTAATCTTAACAGTATATGTAATAAAAATAAAATTTCCAACACTTGTGCATTATTTTCACGCACCGTCCATACTTTCTGGAGCAGTCTTTATTTTGGAGAACAGTTCTTATGTTTAGGAATGTTTACATTAGAATGTTTACATATACGCTGCTTCACTAGCTCAACCAGCTCAACCAACTAGCACGATTTAAACTATTTTCTGAAATCCCATGCTGGTAGATGCTGACGCCCTGTTTACATTATGCTGGCCACTTTTTAGTACAGTTCTAGTAATCTAGCGCTAGCACACCAGCACAAATGTAAACACCCCATAGACCTTTTATTTCCAGCCAGCATCAAAATATTTGATAAATTTGTTTAAGTATTCAACCAAAATATACCAAATGTTTTAAGCGCAATGTTTTGATAAAGAGCAGTTCCATACCAAATAACAAAAAAAAATGTTTTGACACGACTATCTCCGAATTGCATGACACTTTGTTTATACAAAGTTTGTTATGGGCAATCATTCACATTTCTGTTTTAAATTCGACCATTTTGAACCTTTATTTTTGTGTTTCAAAATGGCGTATTTAATTTTTTAATAAATCGTAGCACGAAAACGTCACTTCTAATCGAAATGACGTCTGAGATAAAGTTGTAGAGAAAATAAAACCTTTCAATGAAAAATATACACGGTAATATTTTATTTTAGTAATTTTGCGAAAATAATCAAAAGAAGTGGAGTGAATGACCGTAATCCGGATAAAACCCTTAGCAAAAAAATAAATCGATAGTAGAGATAAAAAAATTAAATAACATCTCGACTACTTTTGCGAAGGGACGTATCAGCTTTTAAAAACAATGCATTTGATCGTCGGTTTGACGTAACTGGAGACTCGGCATCGCCACTATCAGGTTGGGGAAAGTTTTCTCCATGTGATGATAGTGTTAGCATGGGTTGGTGAGCTACCAGTTGCGCCAAATCGACGTTCAGATGCATTGTTTATAAAAGCTGATGCGACCCTTCGAAAAAGTGATCGAGACATATTAGAATGTATTTTAAGTTTTATTATTTATTAATATGTAAATTTTAATCATTAAAATGTATTAGTTATGAGAAAATTAGTATATTGATTGAAAGTCTCTATTGAATTTAAATAAATTATTTAAATGAATGGTTGAAATGAGCAATTCGGCAAATTATATATTTACCAGAGAAACGATTAAATTCTCCTTAAACTTTGGCAAAATAAATGGCCCTTTGCTCATTTTTAACATCTATTCAATATTCATACTGCCGTACTCCAACGGAACTATCTACCTACCCTCTTCTAAGACCATTCTCTAGCTAATAAATTATCACACTAAAGCTTCATGTTAGAAAGCATTTCCAACCAACTCTGAAAATCGCAAACATCGCGTATGAAGTAACATTAAAAAAACACTTTGAATGTTACATCTCAAGGCGAAAGTATCCGCCAACAATGCCTTATTTTAAATATTGAGATTTTTAACAGCTTTTTTTTTAACGGAACTTTGATTTTTTTTTCAGTCTGTTTTTTTTTTTTTTTTTTTTTTGAAAAGGTAATCTAATTTTCTACAGTTTTGTTTTAGACATCATTTTGATTGGATGAGCCGTTCTCATGCAATGATATGTTTAATATATGTTGTAGGGAAAATGGATGTAATGTCGGTCTAAATGCTCCTAATTTGGGCC